CAGCCGATACACGCGTCCCTTGAGATTCACGAATACGCCATTTTGACGTCATAGGTGTCTCAAATTAGCAAACCCAACCCGAGCCTTGTAAATTCGTGTATTCACCCCATCTGTCACACTACAACCGGAACTAATACAACTTCCAAGGTGCGTAACACGCTCCGCAATGTCAAGTACCTCTCCTCGGATTGTAAGCGTCGTGTTCAGTGACTGAATGTCCAGGAGCATCACCTTAAACTTTGTGGGTGCAAAATGGCTACTAAAGGACTTCGGCCAGCTCCCAGGAAATTCCCGTATCTTCTTTTCCTCTTCGAAAATGAGAACGATGTCATCTGCGTGTTCCAGATTGACAGGGCTTTCGCCAGCAGCTATTTCAACATGGGGTTTCCATCGTGATCACTGAGCAAATGTGGATAATTGAACTGACCGAATTGATATGAACGCACCCTTGAAACCAAGGTACATTAAAATTTCTAATCATCTGTACATACGGCGTTACCCTAAAACCTAACGAAGGGTGAAGATGTGGACGACTTAGTCTCCATTCGGTCCAAACCCCGCTTGGTGCTTACAGGTTGCTTCAAGTGACACCAGGAGCCCTATTATAGTAGGAGTCAAACTGACACTCCTGTGGTTGCTACATTCATTGCCAAAAATTTTTGAGAAGATAGACACTATTGTCACATCATCTCAGTTGTCTCGGATAGCCGGATAGAAGAAAACAGGCTATACAGACACTGGCTGAGGAATTCACCCTTACCTTTGAACAGATTCAATGGAATGCCCACGATGACACATAAATGGAACTATACACTCAGACACTTCTGATGCAGAATGGGGCTCAATATTCACAGTCCACCTTTCTGTTGAATTCCGACAGTCCGGACTGGAGGCAGCATGTAGCCAAATGATATCCAAGTTGTTCGCAGCATTATTTCTAACGGTCCAATCGTCCACCTTTGCTAAATATAACAAAGCCGTGTTCCTGTTAGTTCTGGTGATAAGACTTTGAGAGCCAGCCGAACGAATCAAGTACAACACCCTGCGAATGTTTCCAGTATTTTCCGCACCTTTGATTTCCTCGGGCCCTCGGATACCCCAAGTTTCCCGGACAGTCTCACATGGCGTCGAACGACGCATCCGGTGGAGTTGTAGTTGTGGCCAGGAGGAATCTGGCACCGGGCCCCCAACAAAGCCAGTGTATTAGAATTTGGCCCGTGAATGTCCAATTGTAGCAAAATAACCTATGACACTACATCCACCTGATTCCACCCGTGTTGATCCCCTTCGGCCACTAAAGTCTGTTGGCATCAAAGATATTCATCGCCTGTCCACTCAACAAAACGACGTCCGTCATTGGGCTGTCCGAAGTTGAAGTACGCCAACGGGATAATGACCCAGCACTGTCACGTACAACCTGCTGGCACTACCGTAATTACTTTCCTTATATCCTTGACTATCCCCTCTCACCAAATCGGACCCTTCCCTGCAGAAACGAATAAAGTACTTTCCTGGACACAACCGCCTTTAGAGCCTCTTCTAAATGCTCCACCATCAGATTTGAACTCATAATAGGACGTGATCGCCACCCCTTTGCTGGGAATTTCGCTTGTGGCTTGACCCAACCAGGCGCACCCAAGCACTGGATATCAGACTGAACGGTGGCACTGCTTAAATCTCGGATAAATATCTATTGTAATTCACAGTAAGTCAGAAGAACACGTAAGTACGGACACGGGTGTATTGGGTACACGCGGCCAACTGGTCCGCCTTCGTAGCAGGGAAGCAAAGCAACTGAGTCACATATCCAGTCAACCCACAGCGCTCACGCGAGCCAACCAATCGGACACACATCCAATCAGCCACTGAAGTCACATGCCAGATCGATGGTGGAACGACGAACGGACATGCACACGCGCAAACTCTCTGACACACCGAAGCAGCTACCACAATATCCCACTCGGTCCCGAACATAACCCGATGCGAAGAGCTATCTGACGTTAAGTGTAACTGAGTCTGTAAGTCGACCGTGAAGTATAGTGGACACGGAAAGCCAAATAAATGAAAGAGGCCCAGAAATCCGATAATGCCCGAAGATTATTTCATTCGATTTGTGCGACTTGCCCCCGGAAACCTCCTGTGTGTGAATCTATCAAGCATCAGAATGGAACGACCATCTGGAATAAAGAAGAACGCTTCTACCGGTGGGCTGAATACTTCGAACAGCAACTGTCGTGGCCACGAGCTGGCAATCATCTAGAGCCCACAGGTGAAGTAGAACCCTGGATGGTGAACGTGGAACCATTTACGGCTCGGAGGTTTCCGATTGCATATGTTCTCTCAAGCACCACCGAGATGCTGCTCCGGATGACTTCCCGCCCGCACTATTCAAAGACGGGGGTGAAGTCCCCACTCAGTGCTCGTGCATTCTCTCTCAGCCGGAACTAATAAAACTTCCAAGGTGCTTAAAATGCTCCAGAACTTCGAGGAGAGACTCCAGAATAGGTAATTAATAAATTCGTCTAACCTGCATATTTATCGGTTTCCCAATAGCCAAGTGATTTTTTCGCACCCTTGGAATTGATGGACAAAGCGATTCCGGACGAAGGTGTGGTCAGAATACACAAATGTGTTCCGTAAATAGTGGCAGTTAGTTTTTGAAGTGCACCACCGTTAAGTGACAACTTTTTGATCAGTTTGAGTTCTTAGCGGACACGCCGTTGGAGGACACCATGCGGCCGGACGATTTCGGCTGTTTTGGAACGGAGATTGTTGGGGCAGTTAACTTAACCACCGTGCTTTCATCTTGAGTTCTTTTTTCTGAGACAGAACACGTGAATGTCACCCGAGTCCAACGTGGGAGCGCGATTGACATCGTTTAGCCCATGATACAGTTCACAATTCAGTGTCAAGCTAGTCCAGTATTAGAAGAGGAGCAGCTGGTTTTCGTGCTTCCCTGAAGGTGCGTACGTTTTAGGCAGCCAGTTAGACTTCTCTTCGGGGTTTGAAGATTGGTTTTGAGATGCCTGGGGATGTTGGCGCCGGATGACGTTCAGATGTTCCTTACTAATCGATGCAGCACGAACATAGTCATGTGTCCAAACTGATGGCACCACATGGATACATTTATTAATGGGGTGGGAATAGGGAGAAGAAAAAGTGTGCGAATAGGGGAGAAGGGATACGTCAGCAGTAGCCTGCTTTCTCTTATCCGCCCTGCTGTATGCAGCTGATGGCACCACTCGATGTTTGACCTGTCATGAGAGTGTGTATGTGTGTGTGTGAACTTCCTAGTTGTATGTGGGCTAAGATACTTCCGGTGCGCTCAGACATAGAGAGGAGGACGATTGAGGTTCTCAGTCAAAGCCTTTGGTTCCAAAGCCTGACGACAAGACGTTTTTAGTTTTTAAATAACCACTGAATAACCAGGTATGAAAGGCTGTGAGTTTCGGGCGGACATCCCACAGTGTAGTTCAGTGAGTCGCGACACATATCGTCACATCATGATGAGGTTGTCGTGATGGGCTATCCCGCGTACATGCGCCGGAGCAGTTAAGGTTTTGTTGCGTCTGTTTTTTTTCCTTGGCAGCTTTAATTCTGGAATATCGTGCTCCTTTTGGAGCACATGCGCCTCCTATTCAGCCCTCGTGTATTCCTGAGTGGGATACAATATTACAACATTGTGAAGTGTATAATAGTCCTTTTTCTGTTGTCATCCAGGTCATTACCAACGCGTTATCTTTGCACCACTTAAAAAAACAGGAAAGGGACCAATTTATCGGAGTGGTGTGTTTAACCTGACTGCGATCTGAACGGCATCTATGGAGAACTAGTTAGGTATCGATTTATCTTGCGTCCACCTACATTACTTCCATACGATAGCGTAATTGTAACATGTTTTAAGAAGTAGTTCTTCGGGAGTATCCTCGGGCAAACCAGGCCTTGTTTACATTGAAGAAACTAATCATTAAGGCTGCTGAAAACCCTTCGACCACCTACAACCCGTTTCATCCTTCGTGGAGCCCATCAATTAGACGTAGTCCCCGAGTTTCCGTCAACCTTTTGTTCTGTTTGAACTCAAATTGGACTGATTTCGACACATACGTATATTTATATATCAATTTGTGAAATTCTCCGTCCAAAGAGGGGCGAAACAGGTCGTGGGCTGTCGAAGCGTTTTCAGCAAATTTGTGAGTAGTTTCCTTTATGAAATATACTGCGATATCTCGAATGTCGTACCAAGTGAAACATTAGGTGGACTTTGTGCAGCGCATTTAGTTGAAGAGTATCATATACGAGAGATTCAGTTGAGTCCCCAGTGAAAACCAAGTTTTGTTTAGCTTGACAGTCTGCTGATGTTCGATAATATATCGGTCATGCTTATGATCTTTACTGTTTGACTTTGTTCCAGCGGCGTAGTGGGTTTCGTTGTAATGTGTCCTCTTTCAGAATGAGTGAAGAATTTCGGAAACCATAAACTTCCTTTTTCACTTCTCATGGAATCTATTCCGCTTTGATGGGGGGCTACTTCGTTCTTAAGCTGTTTCCTCCTTGAATGAGTATTGTTAGGAAACTGTAATCCTTTTCGTTCACCCATCCCAGGCGATTTTTTGAGCGCTTCACCACCGACACCATGTTTTTGCTGTTTTTATTGCAGCTGGATTGGACGACAACGTGAGAAAGTTGGCTGTCACGTTTCCTTTCCGCTCATTCTTGACCTATCTGATTTTATGCTGAACGATGCAGATCGGTTAGAGTGTAAACGCACACATGCATACGGTCCGCTGCACTCCGTTCGGGTTGATTCAACGCCGACCACGCCTGTGCAACCTAGGAGTAGGTGTCCTTCGCCTGCCAAACCCAATCCAACCAGACAGCATTTGTATCATTTAACTGGGGTCATAGTACATCATGGTCGTGGGTTCCAGTCCGGACACTACACTGCTTACTGTTTGAATGATGAGCCTGGTGAGTATCGAAAGACGGATTTTTACTGACTGGGTTTGTGCCTGTACTGACAATGGTTAACCACTCATTTTAATTCTTTCCGTTACAATAAGGCGTTCTACAAATAGATCATCGCCGTACTGCAGTGATATGGTGAGTATGACCATGGTGGTCTCCTGCGTGATCGTGGGCTCGTTCCTTACCTGTAAGAGTTTGTGTTTGTATCTACGTAGGTTTAGAAACCTGATGCTCCAGTTTATCAAGACTTTAAAATACACCGTCTCAGTGCAGAGACAAGTACGTCAGGTTATTGCCATCTACCTAACTTCTTATGATCATTTCAGCGCAGGAGTTCGGTTGCGTTTTCCAAAATGAACTGGGCCGGTCTTTTCCAAATCTGTGAGCAGACGATTGTTGAGGTCATTGCTTACTTATCTAGCGTGCCAAAACTGCGGTGGCCACGGATGATATAATTTCGCCTACTGCAGGTGAGTAGGTGGTGGAGGTTTAGTAGTGAGTTTGAGGATGATGGCTTGCTGTATTTCGGTGTGGGTAGAACGTCAGGTTGAACACCCACTGCTTGGGTCATGCTACAAGGGGTGTTTTGAGGTTTTCAAGCATCGAACATGATGGTACAACCATCTCCATAGTGAAAACTCTTGTGGAACCGTAAACTGACTTCTCTTGGCAAATTCCATCAAATTCAGTCTTCTTTTTTGGGGGGCGGGGGTTTGAGAGCCGAAAGGTTCACCGTGTCTATGAACGAGACAACGGAGTTATTACATGGGAGAGCTCTATATTTGGAACCTACTCACAGGTGGATATATTTTCCCGCAGAGCACCGATTAAAGGATCGTTTTGTTCTCCTTAGGTCCTACGGAATCCGTGGAATTTCTTTTTCTGATTCACGTATCCCAGCGAACCTCCGTGTTCGATGGTTATGGTGATCGACCGAACCCGTTCTGCGGATGGGAATGTTTGGCGTGTGTGTTGATCTATTTAGAGGAATCTTATGAACAATAGTTATCACACAAGAATTCAAATTTGTTTGATGTCAAAATAATTACTCTGACGTACTCTGTCAGTTAGACTCCCAGACGCAGTACACAGACCCCGTCGATAGTTATGTTCTCTGTTCCCCTGTGGTGTTTATTTGCCACAACCCGAGCCAGAAGAACACGCTCCAGAAACTTTCATCGAATTTGTTACGCCCATTAGGCTAATCCAATCACACGCAACATTTGAGCGCATAGTTGGATTTCGATATCTACTGCATTTTTATTTTACTTCACCATCCTCGAAATTTGACTGTGATTGACACTCAGGTCTCGGGATAACTTTCCAGAATACTGCATTCTTACTGAGATCAACCTGTGGAATCTTCACCTTCAAAGTTAGTGATTTTTGTTAGAGCAATGGTTGCGCGGTAGAATAACTTCATGAGATAAGTGCATCCTATGTTTTCCACGTTTGAGAAGCCAGCAAGACGTCGATGTTCACATTACTAACAATAAGAGGCTTAAAACGCCTCTATGTGATCACACTGTAGCTGCGGTAGATAGTTACGCTTACCAAATTACCGAATAATATGTGGCCCTCAACAATACAAGATAATATACAGCTCAACGTATCTCTTTTTCACTACGTGTTCTATGACTCTGTAGGTGTGGATCCAAAGCCCAACCACAAAGGCATTTACCTGCTATCGAGGGGAATGTTGGTAGCTCAGATTGTATAGGTGGTCATTGTTCCGTTCTTTTAGCTCGTAAACTTGGTTACAAGCGTTTCGTCACGAAGCCGGATTACATCAGTGCATAGTAAGTTAGCGGTGCGTCGTAGTGTGTCGGTGTGTAGGCGTTGTGTTCTGTGTTTATGTACGTAATTGACACGGGGGGGGGGGGGTCTCTCACTTTGATTGGTCTTTTGGATGGTGGGTCCTGTTTGGTCATCACGTTAGGGTGATGTCAGTAGGGCCATTTGGTACTCGCGCTGGGGTTGAGATAAGGCAAATGCTACTGTAAAAGGTAAATTTGCAGACCAGGCTCATCCCATCCAGACAAAATTTTCACACCCGATTTTACTAGGTCCAATAATCATGTCTTATGAAGTTTCTTATACAGGATTAATGGCGCTTTCATGGCTTTCTCGCTTTGGGTATGAAAAGGTTGTCTTTACAGGAGTTGACATGGAAGAAAATTTAATTTGGAGAAAATTTTGTTGCTGGTGCTGTAGTTCTGTAGGAGCTGCGTTATCTTTGTCTTCGGACCGCATATTTCGTTGTCGCGACCCTGGAATCTATTTAAGACCGAATTCTCTATCTACGAAGACTAGATAGCCCTAAGTAATCAGATCATTGAGTTTCCCGCACTCCTTACAAGATCACATAATAGGCTTTTGTTGAGGCCAGCGACACATTGGCACATCAACCAGCGTGACCGGTGAAACACCACTAGTTCTTTTAACTTGTGCAAGTTGCCATTCATTAGGAATCCACTCCTCGCGAGGCCTTGACACTAGTTCGAGCTACCGATCCTCTTGTACTCCGAGATGAAGTTTTTTCATTCTTGATCATTAAACCGCTGGTTTTCTCATCATTAAGACAATGTATGTTACGGGGTATGCGGGATGTGAACAAAATAGAATGTGTACTTTCAGAGGGTTTCCATCTATGGAGCACATTTTACCCCCTTCTGCTGTTCTGTTATCTCGGTTTCCTTCTGCCACTGATTCCCGTTTAGAGTGTTGGCTCAGTTGCAACGACGCGAACGTGTCGCTTTGTGATTATAGCGAGGTGGCCGCTGCTCAAGCTTATTTGTTGTTCTACTCGGAACTGATGCCTGCCTCGCCGTATCCCCACTGGCTGACGCGTTCCAACGTGCCTCGTATGCCTCTTCTTAAACGATGCTACTCCACCGCCTTCCCTTCGGAAGAAAATACCAATCCAACTCCAATAGAGTCCACAGGGACACCGATGGATGAATTAGTGGACGTTTCCGTGAAACTTAGTCCCATATTGAAGCGCACAACGTCCACACCAACACTTATCACGCGTGCATGCCAATCGCTTCCGGCATCTGCACAGATCAGACAACAACCAGCTGTGTTGGAGAGTGCATTCCTCGGAGAATCCTCTGATGCCACAGAGCGAAGTCAGCCGGCTTCCACAGCCCTCTGCAAGCAATCCGTGGAGAATGAACGTAGAAGCAGAACCACTTTACGGGGCATGAACCCCAATACCTCTAGCTGATATATTATTGATTCCTGTCTTCAAAATATAACTTGTTTATCTCCACAAGAAACTAACTTTTGTTCACTTAGTGCAAATCTAACGCATTCATCTATTCTTCTTTGATCGGATGAATTTACACTACTCCAATAAAATGACCCAATCTTTCTTCCTAACCCCCGACCCCTTCACAAAGTTCTAAGCTCCATACAGTGTTCCTTGTTTTGTCATTTCTTTTGGGATTACTTGTGCATCTTTATCAGACAAACGGTCACAATCAGTTACCACACCATCATCCCGTGCAAATATCCACGTGTAGTTCTTAGTTTACGTTTTTCTACCCACACAATAGCCTCTTATCTTCCTATGTAATCATGTCTTTGTGTGTGCAGTCCCATGCTCCGTGAACAGACCCGTCTTGGTACACAGAGTATATGGCACGGCGCTGTATCCAATACCTAACCTCTCGTCGCTATCCTACCTGTCGTTTGTATTCATTTTGATGTCGTTCCTTTTATGCAGTCGGATTGCTTTGTAGCATAACTGCACAACATACTGGTCTAATCAACGAGCCTTGTTTATACGTTTTTCCTCCCAGCGTTTGTGCAATTATATGTGATTGATAAAATATCATAGCAAGTAGCGTTAACTTCCATAGGCATTTTTGTTGCAGCATTTGGTTGGTGATTTGGTGCAACAGTTGCGATCAGCTTGGACAGAGTTTGTCAGTGCGGTACATGGTAAACCCACTTCATATATGTGATGTGTATTTAGCCGGATTAGGCCTTCACAGCCGATTTCAGTATGGAATCGAGCATTTCGGCCCACCATACCATGTTAGGCTGCTCGTGAAACCTCTTACCACTTGGTTGAGGAACCTCCTTGGTCCTCGTCCAACAAGGGATTTTGTTATCTTCACTCTGAGAACTGTTCGGCCTACATTATGAGTGGTACAGGGACGATGAGCTCGAAAACTTTACGACCTTCATTGCCAGCTTCCACAGCGGAAATGCGGACAACTGTCTAGTTCATGTTGTAGTTAGTGTCGAACTTTCCGCCTTGCTTGAATTCATCACACTACTCAATTGGTTCTGTCCTTAGAGTTTTACGTGGAAAAAATTCTCAGGTTAGGACATATTGGAAACCGGCTTGGATTCACTTACTGCGTGCAATCGCTGTCAGACCGTAAACTAGCGTCACTCGGCGTTCGTCTCACTCGTTGGTTATCCATCTGTTCTCTGAGGCACAGCTGACTTATTCAGACTCGTAAGTAAAAAGCAGCTAGCTAACTGCGGAGAGCGCGATAGTTGCTAGTATGCTGTCTGCCTAATATGGGAGACCTGCCCGTTGACAATCCGTCGTGCTTCAGTGTAGTTCACTTTCTGCAAGGTCATCTCTGTGAAAACCGCTTTCTTACGAAGACCGCTTTTTAATTCCCCTATCTTTCGGTTAAGATATGTGTGCACCTCGCTACGAGTACCATTTTCACACAAGTCCTATCAATACGGCATATGACTTATCAGGGACACTTATGGTCTTAGTTGACTGGAGTGTCTGTGGTTTCACGTTTTCCAGTTGTTCCCACAGCTTCTTATCATGAATTACTTGTCTGTCACAGAGCCGTTCAACGCAAACACGAATTGCAGTCGCGGAGCGACTGAACGAGTTTCCACTGATTGAGGAATGGTTAAATGGTTGCACCCAGCTCATATGCTCAGCTAGTGAGCGTTTAAAGACCATCCGCTTTGAACACAGTTATTAGGGGCAACAGGTAAAGAACACTTCACGTTAGATGAAATAGAGCTTAGCTTTAACTCGCGTACCTGACAGCTAAACACTCTTGGATGTACACACCACATGGACGAGGCTGGAAATCACCCTCCGTCCACCTTAAGCCACTCAATCAAACATGGCATGCGATACTGAAGGGGGCAACTCTGAGGACGACCAATCGAACTGACCACTAACAAGGAATGTCAGCTTGATTCCACAGTTATGGAGCAGATTGCATAGATTCACTCGAGTTCGCCTCAGTAGCACTACTTGTTTTCCTCATTTTGAAGACAATATGTTTCAAGGAACCCTAGTCCTCCAGTCAGTTTAAAGGGCGCTGATCATCATCACCAGATACAACAATGTCAGGGTTGACACTGATACTTCACTGCCGCACAACTATAAGCCTCATCTACTTATATCTAAAGCCCTACAGTGGAAAGAAGGTAGGAAGAGTGGATGAGGGAGGACACCTGGTGCTGGCCTTCGCAAGCGTTCTGAGGTGCTTACACAATCTGGAAAGAAATCTCTAGCACGAACGCCACCGATCAGCCGCCGCCTGTTGCAATGTCTACAGCCAAGCGTAGGCTGGTTTACGGGGGCCTCATCCTGGAAGGCGTACATCACCGACAAAACCTAAACTCTAGGTGATCCCCTCCACGACCTGCCAAGTCATACGTTGTCCACGTCGCGGTATGCGCTATTCTGAATGAGGCATGTAGAGCAACATTAGTCTCAGTTCGCGCGACCTTGAGATTCAGTGATACGGCTTTTTCACGCCACAAGTGATGCAAGTCAGCATACGTGATTCCGGCTTTTGAGATCCTTGCACTGACTTCACCAGACATTTCCGTCAGAGGTGAGAAGACTACACAGGTATGTAAAATTCTCCACAACTTCCAGGGATTCTCCTTGAATTTCAAGAAGCATGTTCAGGGACTGTACGTTCTGGAGCATGAACTTGCACTCTGAAGGTGCAAGGCGCATACCAGAAGATGGTATGATGGTCGTCGATCTATTCAACAGGGCTTGTGCTTCGCTTGGTCTTCACTAATGTGGACGACGACGTCTGCGTACTCCAGATCGTCAAACGTCTCACAAGGAATACTGAATTTGCCGGTAAACGTAAATACAGGTATTCCAGTCACAATGCTTGATCCATTTTTTGATCTTGTTCATGCATGATTACTTCGAGCTCTGTTCCTCCCAGGTTCGGAAGCACTTTATTATTATTCACATCAATCTCGTCTGAACGGACGTTCTCCTGTCCCTGCGCAATTATTCTGGTGAACCCACACCAAAAAAGGGGGGGTCAAACGAGAGTGATGTGAATGTAAACAATACACATCCCGCAAACCCCACAACCTAATTATTAGTCATCGACATCCGAATGGTCCAATTTATCCTGTTAATCCAACGGAGTTCGGTTCCTTAGATATTCTTAGAGCTGCAAGTAACTTAGCATGCAACCGGTCAACCTGTTTTGAATTCAAATTTTCCTGACAAAATGTACTTCACTGTGTTTTCAACACTGGTCCACTCAGGTTTGGTCTGCGATGGTGCCTACCCGACGTGATAACCACCGGAGAGCGAACCGTTTCCAAGCTGGACTGTAGTGTGTGCATGAACAGAGTACATCAAACAGCGTGAAGTGGGCCAGGTTGTCTTCTGACATCCATAGTCTGGGCCATTTGGCGGACTTCACAAAGAACACCCTGAAACCGGTCACATGAGAGGGAGAGTCTAACCTAATGCTACGTGGGAAATTAGCCCGCCGAACTCGGCTATGCTGAGCCGGTAGATTTGCAGGCTGACGAAAATCTCTGCTACTTAGTGGGCCTGACTAAATAGTTTATGGTTGGTGCCATCCAACGCTCTCGTGGATGTAATGCGTGAGTTGCTGGAAAGCAAGCAGGATGTTTAAGGTGGGAATGTTAATAACTAAAGTCCTTGTCTAGACGCAATGCACTACTCATAGGATTGCTGTAAACATCATAAACGAGAGATTCAGCTGGGTTCCAGGTGTGTCTCCTCTTAAAACCTAATTGGTATGCAAATGAGTGTATTTCGCTAAAGTTGTGCGTTTGGCAGTTGTTATCACTCACATCACATTCGTCCGTCATGGTACAGTCATTCTGGGGAGTTCGCACCATACATTGAAAGCACTGAATTCGAGTTTAGCTGTTGGTTGAGATAGTAAGTGGCGCATATCCACGAGGTTGATGCGAATGCACTATTAACCCCGCAGCAACGTACAACGAGTCAAAAGTGCTCGGTATGATTCAGGTTTACGTGGTGTCACATGACAGATCAGTCGATGAATCGACACAACGACGATTGTTATTGGGTCGCCGCTGTGACTGTTGGATGAACCAATCACATCGTTCAAACATGAGCACGTGATGATTCAGGTGTGTCCAGCGTGCACTGATGGAGGAGTGGTAGCACATTCATCTTCCTGACAAGTGTTAGGAGTTCATAGACCCGTACGACTAAGAATATGCACCACTGATGAAACCTAATAAGAGTAAGGCTTCTCCGGTTCGTTGCAGACAAACCAGAATATCTGTATTCCAGACATGGGATCGATAACTGCAAATCTTTGCGTTTCTTCAACCACGGGCTGCGAAGTATTAATCAGTTTACCCTGGGTCGCTGGGAAAATTGGCCTTTCTGTGAAGACATGCAGTGGCCTTTTGGTGGGTGGGGGGCAGACGTCTGTGTACTCCTAATCGTCTACAATGAAACTGCCAGTTCAGCGTGAGGATATTGCGGAACAATATTCGTGATTCGATGAGGTAAACCAATGTTAGCCCAGTGGTGTTTCAGTTGCCCTAATTCCCAACGAACCATCCACAAATAATGAAAGGAGAATTTGGATGTGCTGGAATTAGTTGTTTTTTTAGTGTTACCAACTAGTATTTTCCAGCATTCTAATGCGTGCACAGAGTTCCCGAAGAACCTGTCGTCTCCTGCAAAATAACGCAGGATATCTGTACTGCTAACAGTGAGTTTCCATCACCTTTGGAGATCTGCGCTAGCGATTCAATCGCTGATCTAGCAACAATCAGTTCCAGACGATGTGAAATTTAAGGCTTACCTGTACGAATCATTTCGTTTCATTCATTGTGTACCTGCTTTTTTCTCCCCGTCCTCCTCTTTGAGGTCTCTCGCAAGGTTTGTCACGGTTTGACACACTGTTCTGATTGTCCATAGTAATAATCATCCGGCTGCAACACCCTTCCGTTGTCTAGCTGCCATGCTACCCGAGGGACGTACGATGGCTGAGATACCATCAGGCTGCCCGTGCCTAGATAGGGACAGTCGAGATGTCAAGGTTGGGTTCGAACCACGGACCTTCCGGCCCCTTACCCACTGAAATATCTCGAGCTCCTGACCGGTTCGAGTTCCATGTTTCTGCTTGCTAATCTTCATCTTTCTTCGACAGCAGGCGATCTTTCTGACTGCATCAAGTGAATCGAGTCCTGTCAGGCACCTTTGTGTACACTGATGGTACTTTCGTGCATGTCAGTCAAAACGGCGAGGTCATCCGCCACAGTGCTAGCTCCGCAGAATATATGGGAGCTTTTGCATGTGAATACGAATGCAGGATGGCCATACTAGTATTTTCATCCTGTTTACACATACGTCATAGTAAAGAATTTTTTACTTTAAATGGTAAATTAATGTTGCGTCCTGCAATTTAGTGGGGGAGTCAATACCTTATTCATCAAGTCGGCTAAAAAATTCGTGAAAAACGGATGCCACTCCTGGCTGCTCACCTTATTTCAATCTATAACTCATAAGAACTTCTCGTGC